TTTTTTTCCTATAGAATTTGTACTCGTAGCCTTTCATAAATTGTTAAGCTTCGTAAAATTAGACCGGACTTTAGATAATTATCTTCGTATATTTTCGAGTGATTGCTTAAATTTTCATATTCGTTAATTTAAATTTAACTTTATTGATCAATATTTTCTATTTATAAATTAAACGTAAGAATCATGTGGATAGTGACATTGGTAGAAAAGTCCTCGTACTACTTCAATTATTATGTTCATCGCCTACCTATTATGACTTGTTTTAGTTTTCCCTCCTTAATATTTTTTATTTATTTTTTTATTTTTTTTTTTGAGAATTTCCCTCTTGAGTAGCCAATATTCATGTATTGTCATTGAAAAAAGCATGTTGCTTGGTGGAAAAGAATTCTTAGTCGTGGTCTTGTAATTTCTCTTACTTTTTGTTATCAATTAAAAAATTGATTCACCTTAATTGTTAATTAGTTGAATGTTTTTTTTTTATATTTTTGATGTTCTAATTTGAATGTATTGGCTTTTAAAAATTATGTTTGATGTTCTAATTTGATGTAGGCGTTTGAGTAGGCGTTTGATTTTTTGCCTTCGTCCTTGTTTGCACGGTTCCTCCGACGTAATTCTTCTATTTTCAGCCCCTGTTTAGTGGGTTTGAACTTTGTAAGTTTTTTATATTTATTTAGTTTAGAATTGTAGTCGTTGTATTAATTCGGGATTATGATGACAATATTTGAATTATGATTTTGTTATATTGTTGAAATTTAGTATATGTTTATGATTCTTGTTCTGGGTGGCACATCTTGCAGCTATGGTGTGCCGAAATGTTTTAAAGTTATTTTTCTACAGGTTTTGATTTTTGGATTATATGAAAAATAAGTCGTTATGCTGCCGAAATTTAGTTAGGAAACCATAATTTTAATAAGTTCATTAACACACTTTAATTAATAAAACTTAATTGTATTAATTAAGAGTAAAATTAAAATTAAATAAACACATTAATAAATTATTATGTCTGTTGTCGTTTATAGTTGAAATGTCGATTGACAAAAGTTGGACTTCTTTGAGGAACCGATTGTCTGAGGTCCGTTGTTGATAGGGAGGCAGCAAAGTGCTACAAAGACTGGAAAAGTTCCTTGCACCGCCGCTACAAACGCTATGAAAGAGAAAGTCTCCCGAGTAACATGAGAAATCAAGTTCATTGGGATCGTTGTTGCGATAGGTTCTCTGGCGACAAATTTCAAGTAATTATAGATTTGTTAGAACTTGATGATTTTTTATACATAATTTCAAGTAACTATTACTTATTATAGTTAATCATAAACAGAAAATATCAGAGACAAATAA